AGGTTTGAGACCTCGGATTGGTGGTTTTGGGCGGTGATGATGTCACCCTCGACAAGTGTATGTGATTGAGAGGGCGATGTGATAGGAGGTAATCATGATGTCTCTTGGGATTACGATGGTAGTATGCCAAGCTGAATTTTATGGTCAAAATCACATCTGCTTCAGGTAGGGCTTGCGAACAACTATTATGAGATCGAAGTTCAGATATCAACAGGTAGTATTGTATTTTAAACAAAATAATATTTTATAATTGTATAATATAATTAAGGACTTCTTTGTCTTTTACCATCCAAAATGTCATTGTGGAAATATGAAATAGTTGAAAAGTCAAAGTAGAAATATAGGGTTTGACGAAGTCATTTTTCAAACTTTCCCATTTTGCAAGAGTTTAAAATCAGAAAGAGAATTAGAAGCCTAGAAAGGTGACCGGCCCTAGTATTTTGGAGGCCTTATGTCAACTTCAAATATAGGGTCCTATTGAAGAAAAATCATTGTATTCTTACTTGAACCTTCTTGTAGAGAGTTTAATATAATTGTAAAGAATCTAATACAAATAACTAAGTCCCAAAATTTGAAGAGAAAAGCAACAAAATATCGAATTTCAACATGCAACACAAATTATAAGTGAAGTTTGACATATATAATTATAACGCAAAGGCAAAGAGGTCTATTCGTCTTTTTGATCATTTTCTCATTACATCTATTTAAAAAAAAAAAAATTGAACATGCATTTGACTAATTTATGTACAAAATTAGAGAATGTTGACAGGAGAGATAGTATAACGAAATAATGAAAATGATGATCAAATACAAATGAGCTTCTAATTTTATATGAATTCATACTAAATTAATTAATAAATAAGAAGTATGAAAGCGGGTAAAGAATTATTAAATTCAAAGTACCTTAATTTTAAAAAATTATTATCATGAGATTAAAGCAAAATAACAATAACAACAACAACAATAATAATAGTAGGTTATGTACTATGTAGTATATATTTTGAAGATAGGGGAGAAAGAAAGAAACCCGTAAGGCTGTAACAATGGTAGTGAGACCAGATCAATATGCTAAATTGAATCTTCAAAATTTTAATTCAAAGTGAGATAGTTCATTTCTTGTTGGGTTGAAAAAAATTATGGTGGGCTACCGTTGGACGTGGAATTTGAAGACATTTTTATTTGGTTTAGAAAAGAAAATGGATTTTTGGAAGATAAATGATCAAATTACTTATATAAAGAGTAATGTTTTGTGATGTATTTATATGATAAATAAATGTAAGTGATAAATAATGTGCTATTTATATGTTTTTCTAAAAATTTTTGTACTTTCAATTTTTATTAGTTTCTCTTGTTTGCATATTCATAATTCTATTTTAAAGAATTTCAATAATATAATTTTCGTTTTTTCAACGAACCAATTAATCTTACATAATTTGAGACCCTTACCAAGGTGGGACCTTAGACAATCGCCTACTCCACCCATAGTTAGGACCGCCACTGAAAGGTGAGGGAGGAAGAACTATTTGCAGGTGACAAAAGCCTAAGAATAAAAGTTGAAGCTTAGTAAGCTTGTTATTGTTCGTAACCAATCGGTTGCCGTTGTGAGGTTAACCTAGTTCACGGCAAGTTACTTAACTAGATGGTTTCTTCATTAAACAAACGAAAAAGGAAGACTTCACTTTAACCCCACCCCCTGGTGCCGATTGGTCGTTATTTCCAGAAAAAATTCTCCAAAAATTCGTTGTGAATAATGAATTTTTATTATAATTAATACTAAATAGAAAAATATTTTTCTAGTAACTTTTAATGTAAAACGAAGACAGGCTTAAGAGTAAAGAATTAAATGACACACTAATGGATAAAAAACATAGACAATCGCTCAACCTACGACGAAGTTCCATGTCACATAGTGAACTTTATTTTATTTCACAGTGATCACTAAAAATTATCTTTTGTTCAAGTTAAATTTATTTACATTTTTTAAAGGAATGCGTGATATTAAAGTTGACAATTTATTTGCTAAAGATGAGAAAAATAATAAGTTCCAATTGACTACCAATTATTGAAACTCGCCTTTTGTTTTGTTTACTTTTGTTAGCTTGTTATCTCGTTAGAGAAAAAAAAGAATTTAAACAAGTGACTAAAAAAGAAAATTTCAATGACCAATTTAAAGAAAAAAAATTCATGGTTACCATGAAATTTATTTAACCTCAAATATTGTAGTTAGGACTTGGGTCTTTCAAACGTCTATGAAATTACTAGCACTACAAGAAAAAATGCATTTTGCAACATGCAAAAGGCAACATTCACTAATTGTATGTTGCTAAAATAGGTCTACTGCAACGTTCAGCAAGTGTATATTGTTATTGGTTAATTAAATTGAGTTTTAACAACGTTTTTATAAAGAATGTTGCTAATATATCCTTTGCAACGTTCATAGTCCGTTGTCATTGAATTTGTTTTTGCAACGTGCAATGCGCATTGCTATTAAAGTTTTAGCAAAGTGCAGTGTGCGTTGTCGTTATTATGTTTTAGGAACAGGTGCTGCGTGTTACCATTAGGTATTTTAGCAGCGTTCTAAAGAACGTTTCCATTAAGATTTTAACAATGTGCAACTAAACATTTTGGGGGCAAAGGGCTTTTTTTTTTTTTTTTTTTTTTTTTTTTTTAAATTAATCTAACCCTGTTTCCATTCCAGCCCAGCTGATTTTTAAGGCCCAAAACCCGTTAGCCCAATCAAGAAATTAACCCATTACAACCCATACCATTCACCTCCTCAAGAGTCGAGAGTTAAATGTTTCATTAGCCACTGAACTTTGACCTATGTCATGACTTATTCACCGAACTTTCAAACTTATCCCATTAACCACTGAACTTCAATCCGTTAATGTCCATTACTTTTTGGATCAGATACGTTAATTGACGTGTCTACGTGGCAAACAGAAAATCTAGCTGGCCGGTTAAATCTTTACAAATGTTAAATGATTTGCCAAATAATCGACCACATCAGTATTAAACACATGCCATCCTCAACTCTATTATACGCCTTTCATTGAACAGGCTTCCTCCATAAAATTTCACTCACCGAAATTGCTAACTTTCAGGGAAGAAAATGAACCCTAATCGAAATTGAAACCCTAAATCCCCCAAATCTAAACCCTGAGCTCGAAATCAAGGTCCTTCACGCCATTGCTAAGTACTCAAACAGCCTGCGCAAGCATGAAGAAGCAGCTCCCATTCCGTTTCTGTAGTTCTCGCAATTGATGGACAACATGAGGATAAATTTCAAGCTTATGGGTTTTAAAGTTTTGGGCTTTGTAGTTGCTATTCATCTGACACATATGGGTTTTGTAGCTGCTATTTTGGGTTTTGCAGTTGCTATTCCCGTATCTGAAAATTTTGAAGTTGCTATTCATATGACATTTATGGGTTTTACAAATCTGAAAAATATTTATTTACATGGTTTCTTTTGGGAATTGTAATTGTACTCTTCCTCCCAACACTTAGATTAATTCACAGAAATTCACAGAATCCTGTGTCTCATTTGAATGACCTTCGTAACATGATTTAATTGTTCAACCAGTTTGATATAGTTTGATTCTGCTGGAGTTCTCGACTTGGATACGGGGTTGATCAGTTGAGTAGGGTTGAATCATTTGATAACTAATTAATTCCCAAAATATATACTATAGTAGCAAATATATATATTTTAAAGTTTGGCCACAGTTTGTTGTTCTCTATTTGACGGTTTGCATCCATTCTTGTTAATGTGGTTTAATTGTATGACAGATTGTGAGTAAATTCCTACTACTTCACACCTTTTACTTTGATACCAATGGTCTGGTTATAGTAATTTCCAACAAGACCGTTTCAAGGAGAACTAAGAATCAATTGAATCACAGAGCTACTGTGTAGTTAATGAACAAGAGTCTGTAGTATTTCACCCCTGAATGCACTCAAGATGCATTTCTTGATTTGCTTCTTCCTAGCCTCCCTATCTTTAGTAAATTTTTTCTTACTCAAAAATTTTCTCTAGTTTCTTCAAATTGCTGTTGGTGTTCAGTTAGAGTGTATTTGAATGACATGGAAAATATTATCTATAAAAGAAAATATTTTCCATCTTTTGTGGAAAATAAAAACCACATCTACCCAAAGAAAATATTTTCCTTAAAAACAAGGAAAATCAGACATATTTTCAAAAGTTGGAAAATGTTTTCCATGGAAAAAAATAGCAATCAAACACTTTAAGTAAGAATTTGAATGGAAAACTGATATTTTTCATGGAAAATAAATATAACGAAACACACCCTTATAATTTTCATTTGATTGCATCAAGTTCAGCGACTAAAGCTGTATATTGAACTCATTTTGGTAAATCCAAATTTATAACATGAGCAACACTAGATCTTTAGTGTTGTGCTATTTGTACACAATGGTGTACAGGCTTACACCCCCTCCCCCCCTTACATGGAGGGGGCCCACGAATATGGTAAATCCAAATTTATAACATGAGCAACACTAGATCTTAAGTGTTGTGCTGTTTGTACACAATGGTGTACATGCTTACATCCCCCTCACATGGAGGGGGCTCCACATGAGGGAGGTGTAAGCCTATGTATACATCATAAGGTGTACACATACAACATTTTCCATATTTTAATGCTTGCTCTCTCTCCATCCATTAGCCCCCATTTTGGAGAAACGAAAATGTGTGAAATAGTATTTTTTTGAAAAATATGTGGTTAAAAAAGAAGAAAAAATTTTCAATTTTCGTGTAATATTATTTTATGAAAGATTGTATGGTTAAAAATATGAATGAGAAAAATGAAACGTAATAGAATTGAAATTAATGGGGGCCAAACGGGGGCTAAAAAAAAAAAGGTGACAGAAGTTCGGGACGTATTTGGACAGAAAGAGGACGATAAGAATCTGTGCCCCACATAATTTCCAGCAACATTACCAAAAATCAAAAACATCAAACTGATATCACATAATTTATCGTGGCTGTGCATCTTCCAATTTTGGCAGATTTTTCACATACGCACACAAAATCCAACTTCATCAACAATGGTTGGATAATCAGTATGTCCCTTAAAAAAAATCCTCTCTGATTTTCTGCATCCCTTCGGAACCCAAGACCAACTCTAACAAAGAAACCACCATTAACCTTGTCCCAGAGTCCCCAACAGCAACTATCCACGACCCATTTAACAACACCGAGACATCTGGTTTCTTCAACTTTCGAAACCGACCCATTTGGGATACCACGTGAGCTACAAGAATGGATTTGAGGACCACGGCGACTTCAAGAGAGAGAATTGATTTGGGGGAAATTGATTTCCGGAGCTTAGGGTTTGGTGATTTCATAGACAAACTCGTGTTTGGTTTTATACGTCAAAGATGTGTTCTAGAATATTTTTTGACATGGCGATGACGGGGAATTGATTTGGCAATAATGGGACTCAATTTACCACATGGAATGAGTTAACCGGACACGTCATCATTCCATCCTCGACGTCAGCAACAATTCAAATGGCATCCAGTCGGGTGAGTGATCGACACTGGCGGAGGAAAGTTTAGTGGCTAATGGGACAACACACAAAGTTCAGTCAGCAAACCGTGACATGGTAAAAAGTTCAGTGGCCAATGAAACATTTAACTCGATGAGTCGTATGTATCATTTCTCACAAACCCAGCCCTCTGTAGCTGCCGTCGCCCCTGCAGACCTGCTGGCTAGTGGCTGCTGCTTCAAGCCATCGACCTGAGGAGTGAGGCGGGGACAGGACCTGCTGGGCCGCTGGCTGCTTCGCTGGTTGTCATGGTTGGAATTCGACGGCAAGAGAGGACGACGTCTTCCAGTTTCTCAAGGTCCTGTATGGCTAATGGCTATATCTTTATAATTTTATTGTTTGTTCTGGAAATCAGTTTACCTGGCAAGTATCAACGAGAATTGAAATTGGGTTCTGGAAACCCACAATTTTTTTTTTTTTTTAAAAGTTAGTTAATCTATCAGCCCCTAAAATTTCGTGTTATGAAAATCTGATTGACTTTTCGTCTCTTTTGGGTTTGAAATTAGGGAGTGTAAGTGTCGGACTTGGATTGATATCCAAGCATGGAAAAATTCATGGTGTTATGGTTGGAGCCCAACTTTAACCAAAACCAATTAATTTCCAACCAAGCTCAACCAAATAGCCAGCAGCTTTAAACTCAAGATATTGTAATTATCCAGATTAAAGAACACAACCTGAAATATCTAACAATAAAAACATAAGATTCTGAATATACATTGCAATCACCCAAATTGAGGAACATAAACTGAATTACTAACAAGAACCAGTTAATCTCCAACCAAAATCAACACATTCATTCCCTTAATTGATGATTGTCTTACAATGCAGTGGATTACAAGCAAAGTAACAATTAAAAGAAAAAAATGGTTTAGCTGAGGAAGAAGAGACAGAGAATTGGGGAGAAGATTGAGTAGAAGAAGAGGAAAGGAAGAACCGAGAAGAAGAGTAAGCAGGAAAAGAAGCTTACAATAGAGGGGAGAACGCAGAACAGAGAAGAAGAGGGAAGAGCAAAGAAGAAGAAGGGAGAAAACGGGTGGCAGCCACGATCAATTCAACGTTCAACCCCTCCAAAACATAACCATACAACCCTATATAGAGTAAAATAACAACCGGGCTTGGGCTAGCCCACTAATACAAGCCCAATTAGATAAAATCAAAGATAAATGGTCCAATAAATAGTTACCCATGACATCCCTTTTCCTTAAATTAACCTTGTCCTCAAGGTTCAAAGTCGGGATGTCTTCTTTGTAGGTTGTTAGCAGCTTCCTTATTCTCTTCATCATCCTTGGGTTAAGCAAGTAGTGCATGATGACATATGTATCATTGTGCTCCTCTTCAGACTCATAGTTGGCATCTTCATCAGGAGTCATATCCTCTGGCCTTGGTTCTTTCTCAAAAAATTTCTCTTCATGTATAGGGGCTCTATTTTCATCTTCCTTGATCGGATCCTGAATTGCGTATTCATCCGTAAGCATCTTTGAATCGAGAGTTACTTCAAATACATCACCAAGTTAAATTAGCGTGGCATTAAATTCCCATTCTCCAACAATTTTACCACCTTTTTGAAATGATAGAATAGCATCAACTTTTCCTATAGGTATCACTTCTGCCCTACCATATGTACTGCCAACTTCCTTAGCAATAGCCTGAGAAGTTATCCAATTATCACTGGTAACGATAATAGGATTTCTGCCAATTTTCACAAGGCCCTCTACTACCACAGCAACTTCTACTTTCAATGTATCTGCTACCCCAAGAATACCAATTAGATTGTCATCATATGCCACATGTATTCCTATCCTTGCAATTTCGACTTCATTTCCACCTTTAGCAAAAGCATTCAATAGATTATAACTTTGTCCCGACCATAACGACTGACTCCTAACCTTACCCCAAGCGATATCTTCTACATGAAATCCATGATCTGAACTACTAATTTTTCTTCACTCGCCACTTTTTCATTATGAGCGACCACAATTCCAGTATTCCCCTCAACACACACTTCTTCTTCGGTATTTTTAGCAAATCTCTTACACAACTCCTTAGAGAACATTCGCCAATCTGCATAAGGATTGTTTGCCATGAATCCATAAAACCATATATAAGCTTTCCCTTCCAAACACTTCTCAACCATTCCTAGCCTCAATTCATCAGAAACGTGATGGAGTTGGAAGTAGTTTCCCGCTTCCATCAGCCATTCTCTAGGACTTTCTTCCCTAAACCGAGGGAGATCATTTTTAGGGAGTCTATCATTTTCATTAAATTCACCTCTAGCATGAACATCATTCACATTACTACCTAGCATGAACATCATTCACATTACTACCATCCCCATGTGTAGTTATCACACTTCCAGAATTGAAATTGACATTAGGACCCTCTATTCCTTTATTTTTCTGATCCATATTCAGATTTAAAGACATTTGGGTCATCATGGCCACTAAATTTTCATATTTCCAATTCAAGTCCAACATGACACCCTCAAATTTCGATTGCTTATGAACAAGTACGTGGAGTGTTGATTTGTGGAATCCAATTTATTCTCCGATGTGCTGGTAAGGGCTTTAAAGGATGTACCTAAATCCCCTATTTCCTAATCCGGCATCTTCAAGTGCTCGTCCACCATTTTAGCTCTAGTATCCATGATTGCAATTGCACAATAGTGTATGCCTGCTTTGATACCACTTGTTATGGTTGGAGTCCAATTTCAACCAAAACCAATTAATTTCCAACCAAGCTCAACCAAATAACCAGCAGCTATAAACTCAAGATATTGTAATTATCCAAATTAAAGAACACAATATTAAATAACTAACAATAAAAACACAAGATTCTGAGTATAAATTGCAATCACCCAAATTGAGGAACATAAATTGAATTACTAACAAGAACCAGCTAATTGCCAACCAAAATCAACACATTCATTCCCTTAATTGATGATTGTCTTACAATGCAGTGGATTACAAGTAAACTAACAATTACAAAAGAAAAAATGGTTTAGCTGAGGAAGAAGACACAGAGAATTGGGGAGAAGATTAAGCGTAGAAGAAGAGGAGAAGAAGAACCGAGAAGAAGAGTAAGCAAGAGAAGAAGCTTACCATAGAGGGGAGAATGCAGAACACAGAAGAAGAGGGAAGAACACAGAAGAAGAGGGGAGAAAACGAGCAGCAGCCACGATCAATTCAACGTTCAACCCCTCCAAAACATAACCATACAACCCTGTATAGAGTAAAATAACAACCGGGCTTGGGCCAGCCCACTAATGCAAGCCAAATTAGATAAAATCAAAGATAAATGGTCCAATAAATAGTTACCCATGACAGGTGGCCTTTTGAATATTTCAGCTACTTATGCAGCTAATTTTGCTATCATAACTAGCTGCTATTACGGTAATTTCTTTGTGGTTAATGTAAATCTTTATTTTTATTTTTATTTTTATTTTTATTTTTATAGTTTTCACTTGTTCAACTGACATATTACTCGAGCTTAATAGGGTAAGTAAATACTATAAGTTCTGTGATGTAAATTTTTTAATCTTCTGTCCATATTTGTGTGATGGCCTCTAATTATAAGTTATGCCTTCATATGTAGCATAAACGTGTGTGCTTTATATAAATGTACTTTCAAATTGCATCTTTTTAATAACATTGTTCCATTTATATTGAGCGTTAGAGTTGACGGATGTTGACGGATGTGTGCTTCTAAGTAGCTTTTGGGTTTTCTTTGCTGGTAATTGATCTTCTGGTCCTAAAGTAATTACCCTTAGTTAATCATCTTTTCCTTTCCAGTTTGGGTCGTTACTCTTTATTTCTTTGCATGTGAAATAATGAATCCGAGTTCACTATACCCTTCAGTTCATAAATTTAATTTTGCGACTTTGCCCATGATAATGTCTTTTCTAATTTGATAAGAAAAAAAGGGAAAAATTTGTTAATTATTTTGGTTTCACTATACTCAAGATTATGCTTCTTTTGGTTTTGATTAAGTGAAATGGGTTTTCTTGATCTAGTTTTATAGATAAGAACTGAAATTATTTTTTTCTACAATTTCTCATAATTTCACTCAAGATTATTGAAAAGAATTGAAGTTAAAAAGGCTGGATACATGGTGTTGTTTCGTTATTAAACTTCTTTCATTTATCAAACTGCATATTTCAATGTCCTTGATATTGTTATTGATTTTGTCATCTGTTTGAACCATAAAACTTAACCATATCTTGTTAAGAATTACTGAATTTTGAATTATGTAAAGCTTGAAAATGCATTAATTAGTAAAAAGGATTAGAATTCAGATCACTAAAATTTGCATTTCCAGAAACTTCTATTCAGTCAGTAGGGTGTGATCCCAATGCTTTGCAATTGCAATTATTCCCCAGGCTAATATTAGTTGTGATATATGATTTTGTTTAATCTATGAGATCTATGTATCTAAAATCTTCTGAAACTTTCCACTCTTCAGTAGCGATTGATTTAGATAAATTGAGAATGTGTTGTAAAACTGAAAAACCAGAAAAAAGATTTTCTTACTGTTGTCTTCTTGCATTTCTTAGGACTGGGAACAGAACCCAATACTTTGATCGTGTGTGTGAGTTGTGTTTCTCTTTAAGAATATATGTAAATGCATTAGTTTTGTGTAAACTTATATAACGGTGATGGAATGATGTACTTCGCTCAAGTGTCTATACTAATTGCCCAACAATTATCATCCGAAGATGTTATGGTGTAATTCTAATAGAACTTCACTAGAGCCTCACTTGGAAAGTCTTTTTAGGGCTAAATCTGAAAAGCTTTGGGTCGTTAGACTTTGTCATTGGTGCATCTTATGATTTAGTAGGGATTTTGTTAGCCTTAGTATGCACGGTGTACTTGTACATGAGTTTTAATCTATATAATTTTACATTTACCCATCAAAAAAAAAAAAAAAAAAAAAAAATTGTGAAAAGTTTTCAGTTGGAATATGCTAGTAAATGCTTCATGGATATAGAAGAAATGACATCAATTCGCTACAGCGTATTGGTACTTCTCGTTCATTTGTGTTAAGACAGATGAGCATGTCATGAAACACTTGTCTGTGTGCTTCAGAATACAAGAGTGAGAGGGAGTAAATTGAAACATAAGAGAAGTAAATTGAGGATAATATATATATATATATATATATATCCTCAATTTACTTCATATATATATATATTTTTTTTTTTTAAAATTTTTTTTTTCAACTTTTATTGAATTTCCTTTGTTTGAAGAAATTTGCGTCTTGTAATTTTTATTTTTGTTCAATTATTTTTGTAATACTTCGTCTCTAGTAATTATTTTTGTTTTCATGAATTTTTATTAACATATAATCAATAAAATAAAAAGTATGCATATAGAGCTCTAACCGTCTGGATCATTAGAGACCTTGATTCTCAACCTATATAATATAACTTCAATTAATAAGGCTGTGGTCGATTATAGATGTTATTAATTTGTTTGTTAATTCAAATTGGAATCTAGAATTTTATTTATTTTATTCTTATTGGTTAAAATTTATTAACATCCAACGAACTAAAAAAGAGAAAAAGTAAATAATAACGTTAAAGCCATAAAAAAAAGGTCCCTTGATAAACTTTAGATGAACAGTTTTTATTATTATTTTTTTAATTTTATTATAAAATAAAACAATGTGAATGTTCCAAGTTAGACTCCTTAGTTCTCAACCTATAATATGTAACTTGACAGGTTTTGAGTAGGTTCTTGCTCAGAACTCGTGTTTAAAAATTTATTTTCAATTTCAAATTTTAAGGGACACGCAATTTTTAATCATACATTTCATCAATTCTTATTGAAATCTACTAATTTTTTTTTTTTAAATCCAAACTAGGTCTAGGCATTTTAACTGGAACCGAATCTCTCAAATCGAAACCGAACTGGAATCGGAGGTTTCGGTCTGGTTCTCGAAAAAATAAATTAGGAATCGGAACTGAGAATCGAGAACGGACTGGGTTCGGTTTTGTTCTTGGTTTCTAAACCAGAACTGTGGGTACTCGAATGAAGCCAATTTTTATATATATATATATTTATTTATTTATTTATTTATTTATAATTTATTGGTTGGAAAAATATATAAAGCCTAAAAATCCTAATTTTGATAGTAATTAGTCTAAAACTTTAAATTTTAACCTTAAAAAATAAGCCTGGTTCTTACTTTTTTACATTTCATCTTACATTAGATTGTTGCATCTTGGAGGTTATGATATGTTAATGTTTACAATTTGAGCTTTTTATAAATAAAAAATTTCAAATAGATTGTAATATAAGTTGATGAATCAAAGCATTCATTCTTTTGCAATTCAAGCTTTTTACTTTTTTGTATTATTAATAAATTTAAGTGATTTTTTAAATTTTTTGATAAAGCGTGACAATTGAATTTGATATATTCATTGCTTGCATTGTGTTGTACCTTTTTGTTATCTTAAGTTCGTGGTTCTCTTTTTAAATATTTATATTTTATTTTTTATTCAAACAGAGCGAGTTCAATATGTGGACTATAATTTTTTGATATTATATTAGCTATGTATTTAATTAGTATTTTTTATATCAGTTCGTTTTACAAGTAGAAGAATTCAAGCATTGTTCACAATTAAATTATATGCCTAGTATGCATCTCTTAGAGATCGAAACAGATTTGTTAAGAAAAGTAATTTATTCTAAATTATAATTTTTTTTTTGATTTTTTTTTTTAAATTTTCTCCTTTTTTGTGACTTTTAATATCCAATATTTTGTGTTTTGAAGATTTTTTAATTGTTTCTCAATTGCACATATATTTTCGAGTGGCAACGTATTAGATATATGTACCAAACGGGTTTATGTGAAATATTTATTAAATAAATATATATAAAAATGTTATGGGTAGAACCAAAACTGAATCGAAGCCGACGGTTCGGGTTCGAGTTTGGTTCCAACATTTACAAAGATCCGAAAGGTTTCATTTGCGAAATACCCGAAGTATAATGGGTGGTTCTGGGTATTGAAATACCGGGACCAACCTACCCGATGTCCAGGCCTAATCCGAACCAAACAAGGGTTAAATAAATTTTTTATTTATCTTTTGCTAATTACTAATCTATGAATTAAAAACCAATTGCCAACTCATATCTAGTACTTGTTTGAGGTCCATTTCCCCCCAAAATGCATTCTGAAATAGTATTTTGATAAAAATGTGTGGTTAAAAAATAAGGAAAGATTCTGAATCTGAATATAATATTAATTTATTGAAGAACGTGTGGTTGGAAATAAAAAAGAAAAAATGTATTTTAGGAATAATGGTGATCAAACAAGGGAAGATATAATCAATATTTTCTTTATTGAATATAAAAAATGACAAGTTTTTGAAGAAATTATGAAGTTTGAGATATCCTCGAACACAAGTACACGATTGAATTTTATTACTTTTTATTTGCTACAACACATTTATACAATTTACATATATTTTCGTTTTTCCTTACTTGTATTCAACAAAGTCGATCAAGTACATGTGCCCACAATACTATCAAAACTCATAAAGTTAAAATTTTTGCATATTATCTTTTTCATTATTTAGTTTGAGAACATGATAATAATACATTAACCCGAGGGGACGCTAACAGGTGCTTGTCGAAATGGGAGAAAATAACTAACGAATTCAATCTAATTGAGCCGAGCTTATATACGTAAGTTTATACACAAATATTTTATTACACACACACACGTATCAGATCCCATACAACTTTCGATAGAACACAACTAGATAAAATTATAAAACAAGAGCATCTAACATTTAGGCATCGCAAAAGTTAGATAGTAGACAACTTTGCACAAGCTAAAATTTTACAAATTTGTGAAATGCTTCTATGAGACGGGCTTTGCTGATGGCTATCTTTATGTACAACCAATCCATTATGCTATTCAACGACTTGAAAAATGCAATCCTCCATGAGTTATTGAGCACTAAAGTTCCATATACCCCCCAAAATCCAAAAACGAACCCAACTACCATACTAATGTAAAATCCAATATTGATAAGTTGGTCCTCCTCCTCATCTGGGTCTTTCATTCCATGAACATTATCATTGATCTTCGGCACTTGAGCACTTTCATCTCCTGGACAAACTTTTGTAAGTGGAAGGCCACAAAGTCCAGGGTTTCCCTTAAAGACAGAGTCATTGAAAGTTTGTATGTGATTGCTTTGCGGAATTTTGCCCGACAAGTTATTGTATGACAAATCTAACACTCCAAGTTGATCCAATTGAGAAACACCAGTAGGAATATCACCAAAGAAGTGGTTTCTTGAAAAATCAAGAAAATCCAAAGATCTTAGTTGTTCAATATTTGTAGGAAGGGATCCAGACAGGTTATTTCTTGAAAGGTTCAATCCAACTAGCATTATGAGACTTGTAATTTCAGTAGGAATATGGCCTACTAAATTGTTGCTTGAAAGATCAATGAGTTTCAGAAATTTGAGAGTTTTTATGTACTCGGCCTTCTTTCCTTTCCATGTCACACATGCACTCTCGAAGCCTCCATGGTATCGAAGACGAAATGCCCCATCAAACTTAGAATCCACTTGAATCATAGCAGTGAGATTGTTTAGGCATTTTGGTATACCACCTGAAATCTTGTTTAAAGAGAAGTCCAACACTTGTAAGTGTGCAAGATGACACAAATTGGAAGGAATACTACCAAAGAACTCATTGGACTTGAGACTCAGAAAGACCAATTTAGTCCAAGTATCTCCCACCCATATAGGTATTTTACCAGTCAACTTATTTAGTGAGAGATCAATGAAAGTCAAGGATGTACAACTCCTCAACGATGTTGGAATTTTTCCTGTGAAACTGTTGTTTTGTAAGTGCAATGATGCATGGATATTTAATGAAGGGATCTTTCCAGAGAAATTATTATGTGCCAAGTTAAGATATTTTAAATTTGGTAGGTTTGCAAAACAATTCGAAAGCTGCCCAGACAATAAGTTATTTGAGAGGTCAAGAAAATCCCAATACCCACTAGTTTTATTGCATAAATTGGTAATTGACCCAGAAAATTCATTATTTGACAAATCCAATACGGATCCACTATGAGGCAAAATTGGTAATGAACCATTAAAATGATTAAAGCTCAGATCAATGTAACTAAAAGCAGAGAACTTCGACGACAAATCAGTAAGGACACCTTGGAAATTGTTATGTGATACATTTAATCCCACCAATTTTGGACTTTGCTCCCCAAAAAAATCAGAGAACGGTGCCCGAAATTTCAGCATTAGAGATATCAAGAATCTCTAATGTTGTTTGTGTTCTAAGCCATGCGGGGAAATGTGGACCCACTTTGCAACCAGATAAATCTACTGATGTCAGTTGAAATGGAGGATTCCATCCTAAACTGATATTGAACGAGATACTTGGGTTGAAAGACAAGTCCAAATATTTTAATTGGGAAAGATTAAAGAAATGGGATTCAGCGATTACATCTTCAAAGTTGTTTGAGCCAAGGTACAAAGATTCGAGCTTGGAAAGGCTTCCTATGCATTGTGCAATGGTACCATTAAACATATTACGAGAAAGATCTAAGTATGTTAATGAGGAAGATAATGCAGGACAAGGCACTTTCCCTGTGAGTTGGTTATGAGATAAAAATAAAGAAGTTAAACCACTCATATTCCCCAAGGATATTGGAATCTCACCATGTAATTTGTTGGAACTGAGGTCAAGAAAACTAAGGCTACTGCTTAAGTTAAACACCAAAGGAAATATCCGTGAAGAAGAGAACTCATTTCCAACGACCACAAATTGCAAAAGAGAATTAGAAGTATTGAAAGGTGAGGAAGGAAGTACCATTGGCAGGTTACACGAAGATAAGACTAAAGATTTAAGCTGATTCAGCTTAGTTATTGTTTGAAACCAATCTGTTGCCAATGTGAGGTTAACGGAGCCCATGAGCAGAAAACTTAATGAATGAAGTCGAGAAAGCCAATCAAGATTTGTGCTAGTTAGTGAGCCATCATTAGATGAGCCAAGACGAAGAGAAATCAATTCAGAAAGGTTGCCAAAATGATGTGGAATTTCTCCAATAAAATTAGAACCGTGGAGATCAAGATACTATAATCTGCCTAGGGAACCAATGAATTGTGGGATTCTCCTATAACTGAAATCATTGTGACTAAGGTCTAGCCATTTCAAATGATGGATTTCAAGCAACCAGATGCTAATTTTACCTTTTAGAGGTGCAGTACTCTCATATTCACCGTCCAATGGACCTTGAAGATCCAAACGAACAATATGATTAGTCTGGTTATCACAAGAGACACCACTCCATTTGCAACAATCTTCCTTATATTTTTCATTTCCCCAAGAAGAGAGTCGGCCATATTCATCAATAAGCTCATCTTTGAACTTGAGAAGAGCTTCTCTCTCCTCTTCTATACACCTGATACCATCTTTCATTCTTGTAGAGTGCTCAAAAGTGGCTCTCCAGCTCAATAATAGCACAATGACCAACAATTGGAGATGTTGAAAGAGCTTTTGATCAACCATCATTTTTTGAACAATTGTAACTAAGAATTTTCAGATATTCTTTTGTGATTTTTCACCATTTCAGCAGACTACTTATAGCATTAGTTAATGAATTTACGTAGAAAAATAAAGCCAATTGTGCATAACTTTCTTTACATCAAGATTCAAGAACAATATGGCTCCATTCATAATCTATTTGGCTTTTATCTCTATAGTTTGAATTAAGACTTGATTTAGAACATTTTCAAAAGACACTATAAATAGAAAATGTTCATTATTTTAAAGAGCTAATGCTTAAAAAATAAGCTAAAGAGACTCTTAATTTTAACTTTAAATTATTCACAGATTTAAATAATTTACTTCTTAAATTATTCAAATAACATTTTTAATTAGCCACCAAAATGTTAAAAAATTAACTTAAATAAAATATGAGAACAAATCAATAAAGTTAGAGAGTCTCTTTGAGCATATTTAAATTTGGAGACCCAAAATTTTTATCCATTCCAATAATGCTCGCTTTTTTGGCTCTTCATTTTGCTTTTTTAAGAAACATTTATGGATTTTTCCTCATATTTTATTTAACTTAGTTTTTTTTATATGTCAATGGTCAATCAATTTAAATGTAATTTGAATACTTTAAAAAATAGAGTATTGAAATCTGTAACTTGTTAAATGTAATTATTTTATATTTACAATAGAGAGAGAGAGAGATTGATTTACACTCTAAATTCAGAAAGTCAAACCCATACTATTTTAAAAAGTTAAAATAGAGAATCTCTTGAGACTTACTTTTAAGCATTGATTATTTATAAATAAATAGTCTCTTTAAGTACTCTTAAACCCCATCCTCTGGTGTCGATTGGTCTTTGTTTCTAGATAATATTCTCCAAAAATTTATATGTACCATTTGGTTAAACTAAAAAGGTTAAAAGTTTTAAGTCAAGTTCACGCACATTTCGTGGCATTCATAAATGTTTTTCAGCTTTTTAATTATACATGTCATCAACTTTTATCAAAATTATATTAAAAATCAAATTTATAGTAAAAACAAACAGGGGTGTACTTTCATGTGAAATTATTAGTAAATGCTTAAAAGGAATTGTAATGGATTTTACGGAATGTGTGGTTAATAAATGAGTAGGACTTGTAAATATATATGGTTGAAATTAATATTTAACTTTAATTGAATAGGGAAAAAAAGTAAACTTATAATTAAACACAACTTAAGATTTATCCCAATTACACGCTTAATTTTTCGATAAAAAACACAGACAATCACTTAACTTATGAAGAAGTTCCATGTCACCCAGTGATCTTAGTTTTATTTCAAAGTGATCACTAAAATTTACCTTTTGTTCTTTAGTAAAATTTAAATTTTTTACATTTTATAAAGGAAAGAGAGGCATGGAAACCACCCCCTTGACGCCATGCCAAATTTTCGTTCAACACGTCATATATTCTGTTTGAAAATTAAAAAAAAAAAAAGTTAAAAATTTGTTTGAATATGAACAAGAGACTTATAGTCTAATAGGAAACAAAAGTATACTTCAATGACTAAATTGAAACAAAATATTGTTTAGTGATTAACATAAAATTTCCCATTAGTTGAGTGACCGATAGTTTTTATTAACTCTATCACTATGGAAGAGATGATACCTCGCTGAAAGTAAAGTTTAAATGCTAATATATATTTTCGTCACGTAGCTTGGTACCCTAATTAAGCCATTCGAATATCGGAAAAAAGGAATTATTCATTATAATTTCGAAGCACAAAGTATCTTTGAACCTTTCTTATTGCAATTCTCTACTTAGAAGAAATTTCCTTATTATAATTCAGACAATTTTCCTTTAACAATTGCTCACAAAAATGATTGCAGACAAATGAGAAACACATGGCCATAATTTCTTGTACCGTGCCCCAAACGTCATGCTTGTTAAATCAATGAGTTCCTATCATTATCGTTGGCTAGGAAAAATGGTTATAAAAAATAAAAAGGAAGAATTTGACTTCGAATCACCCAATTGATCTTTATTTTTATGAAAGAATTTTCCAAAAATTTATGTACTTAGGAACCCAGTCATACGCTCACATTTTGGGTAAAAGACAGCAAAAACAATCACTCAACTTACGATGAAATTTAATGTCAGCTACTGAACTTTATTTTATTTAAAAAAGATCATTAGAATTTGCTTTTAGTTTTATCGTGGTTAAATTTAGTGACATTTTCTAAAGGAATGCGTAACATGAAAGGCCTCCATATTGGCATCATGTCATATTCTCATTGGCCGCATCACACATTTCATTTTTAAAAACTAACTGAATTTGAACAAATGACCAAACGAAAGCAATATGTAATCTTTATTGGAAAATTGGCACGTACAAGATTTTAACGGAAAAACAAGATCATGCGAACAAGTAAGGGGGCACGATATATATATTATTTAAATGACCCCTCAAACAATTTAGTCTTTTAGATTAGGTAATTTGATAATCAAGTTTATTTATTCGAATATTTGGGAAATTAGTACTCATTGTGAATTCGGGGCATGAAAATCCCCTAACTTATTTTAATTGGAATTCTCTAATTCAAAGAAATTCTCCTGTGATTCAAAAAGTTTTTCCCTAATAAACTGCTCGAAGAAATGAACGGCGAACAAACAAATAACAAACATATGAGAAAATAAATATGTGTTACTTGTTAAATCAATGAATTCCAATATGAGTTCCAACAGATACTGATGGCTTGGAAAGAGTTTGGACTTTTTATAATAAAAACAAAAAAAAGTGAAGAGTTGGAGATGAATTTTAGTTTGGTGCAAGATTTGGTGTAAAATTTGGTGCAAAATGGTGCAAAATTTGGTGTAGGGTTGGAGATGGCCTTATAGTCTAAAAGGGAAAAAGAAAAAAAAGTATACTTCAAAGACTAAATTGAAACAAAATATAGTTCAGTGATTATCCTAAAATTTCCCATTAGTTGAGTGACTGATAGTTTTTATTAACTTTATAACTATGGGAGAGATGTTACACGTTTGACATCTTCAATATCATAAACTTTTTGATTAAATAGTCCAATATATTTTGGAATAAGTTCCGTCCCTACACATTCAATGAAAATATATGCACATGTACATCTTATGTTTTAATGAAAAATATATGCCGATCTATAAGTGAGGCGCTTGCTGAAAATAATGTTTAAATGCTAATATATATTTTCCTCACATAGTTTGGTACCCTAGTTAAGCCATTCGAATATCTAAAAAAGGGAATATTCATTATAATTTCTAGGCACAAAATATCTTTGACTTTTCTTATTGCAGTTCTCTCGTTAGAAGAAATTTCCTTATTATAATTCAGACAATTTTCCTTTAATAATTGCTCACAGAAATGATTGCGAACAAATGGGAAACACATGGTCATAATTTCTTGTACCGTGCCCCAAACGTCATGCTTGTTAAATCAATAAGTTCCTATCAATATCGTTGGCTAGGAAAAATGGTTATGACTTCTTGTATAAAAGATAAAAAGGAAGACTTTGACTTCGTATCACCCAGTTGGTCTTTATTTTTATAAAAGAATTTTCCAAAAATTTATGTACTTAGGAACCCAGTCATACGCTCACATTTTGGGTAAAAGACAGCAAAACACAATCACTCAACTTACGATGAAATTTAATGTCAGCTACTGAACTTTATTTTATTTAAAAAAGATCATTAGAATTTGCTTTTAGTTCTATCATGGTTAAATTTAGTGACATTTTCTAAAGGATTGCGTAACATGAAAGGCCTCCATATTGGCATCATGTCATACTCTCATTGGCCGCATCACACATTTCATTTTTAAAAACTAATTGAATTTGAACAAATGACCAAACGAAAACAAAAAAGTAATCTTTATTGAAAAATTGGGCACGTACAAGATTTTAACGGAAAAATAAGATCACGCGAACAAGTAAGGGGGCACGATATATATATTATTTAAATGACATGTATTTTGCCCCCTCTAACAATTTAGTCTTTTAGATCAGGTAATTTGATAATCAAGTTTATTTATTCGAATATTTGGGAAATTAGTACTCATTGTGAATTCGGGGCATGAAAATCTCCTAACTTATTTTAATTGGAGTTCTCTAATTCGAAGAAATTCTCCTGTGATTCAAAAAGTTTTTCCCTAATAAACTGCTTGAAGAAATGAATGGCGAACAAACAAATAACAAACATATGAGAAAATAAATAAGTGTTACTTGTTAAATCAATGAATTCCAATATGAGTTCCAACAGATACTGATGGCTTGGAAAGAGTTTGGACTTTTTATAACAAAACCAAAAAAAAGTGAAGACTTGACTTCATCACCTTATTGATTTTTAATTTTTATTAATGGAAAAAAATTCAAATAAATTTGCAGTTGAGTACCAAATTAAAAATTTAATCTTATATATCATATTTACTAGTTTTGTCATGTGAATCAAAGTTATTGATCAAGAATTTCATTATAAACTTTGGGCACGAAGTAGTGTTTGAAGTAATATCAAGCCCTTGTTTGAGCCCAATGTTAAAAACTCATTGTCAACCATGCATTTTATCAATAAAATAAATTTACCTGTAAATTCAAAACTCTCTGAAAAATCACTATTATAAAACCTATTTTTCTCAAAAAAAAAAAAAGAAAAAAAAAAGAAAAAGGACTCAAACGACCTCTAAATAAGCCTAAAATTGATGCAAAAAAAATAAAGAGAGAAGGCTTAATAAGTCGAATTAGAATTGAAGCAACGATGAGAAAAAACTAAATAATTGAATAAGCAATTTTATTCAATGACGTATAGTCGTTGAACGAGAGACTTATAGTTTAAAAGGGGAAAAAGAAAAAAAAAATTATACTTCAAAGACTAAATTGAAACAAAATATAGTTTAGTGATTATCCTAAAATTTCCCA